TATATATATATATATATATATATATATATATATATATATATATATGTAATGAGAATCGGATTGTGATGAGATCACGATAATGAGATCGATTCACCTTTAAACACAAACTCTAAATAAATATGGTCATAGATTACTCGAGAGGAACATTGAGATAACCAAACACATTGGTGTGTTGTATACCCGTCTGGAGGCAGTTGGTCTCATAGCTACTTGTGTGGGGACACTAGGGCTACAGTGCAGGTGCTCATTGGAGAATGAGTTCACTGATTGATTCGTTCACAGAATGTTGAATAGTTAATGATACCTCATTGTTAGGCAAGGATTTTGTTGTCCCAATGGTATAACTAATCATTCGACTTAAGACACCATGGATGTCTTGTATAAGTACTCCACTATTTGATACTAGACTTATAGGTTTAGAAGTTCTAGGTCTAGCACAGCCCGTCATCGGGAGTGACGGTCAACCTTATGATGACTATTGAGTGTCGATAGAAGATCATCTGCTCTCGGTGTCATGAGAGGAATATATCATATGTTTTTGCTCAGATAAATCCCTAGACAGGGTGGTTCGGATTGAGAGAAAGAGTTCTCTGGGAGAATTCGATTAGAGTGAGACTCGAGAAGAAATCGTATGTGTCTAATAGCAGTATGCCCGGTATACGATCTCTGGGATATTAGATGAATGAGGGACTATAGGTATACGGTAACTAGGGATAGATATGTCCAAAGGATTGAATTCTCCTATATTGTCTGGGGACTACGATGTAGTGGCCTAGTACATCCGCAGTCGATGAGTCAAGTGAAAATAATTCACTGAGCCAAAATGAGTTCTGATAGGTATGACTCACAACTAGCTTAATATTGAGTCTAGAGGGTCAAACACATATGGTAAACGTTGCGACAAGTAGAGGTTCGGATATGAGATATATGTCGGAGCTCATATCTTATTGGATAGAGATCCACTAATCTAAGAGGCTTGGGTAGTTTGATGGAGATCCAATACCCAATAGGGCAGGATCCATTAGGGTTGAGTTAATAAGGGGCCTCTATAAATACGAGGGAACCAAAGACCCATATGACATAGGCTTCTTAGTTGCCACCTCATATTCTCCTCTCCCTTTCTCCTCCTCAGATAGGAGGTATGGAGATTTAGGCAGTGATTTGAGGAGCGTCATCGTAGCCCTATTATGTGGATCACCACTAGAGAGGAGGACACTTGACCTCTTTCATCTTCTCCTATAGATCTGTAGGGATTTAGGGATATACGATCTCCCTAGGTAACATAATTATCTCACGTGTGATTTTCAGTTTCGCAGATTTTATGCACCAATCTTCGCACGGTGACGAACACCTTTTTTAAAAATTTTGGGTTTTTATTTTCTATTCTTCTACTACGCAAGTGATGTTACCCTTAGATTTCCTTACACTTCAATAGTTCGAGTCGGCAACATATCGACTATATACTAGTCTTTCCTTAAAGCTTGGGTGGAGGCTAACCTGGCTAGTGCGATAGCTTGTGTATTTTCTACATAAGGTACCCGCAACATGTTAAGTCAGGAGAAGCTTCGAGCAAACTATGGCACCTTGGTAAGGTATTTCACCATGGTCCCATCTTAGGCTTCGAAGCTCTTGTCAAATTCTCTCATAACCAGTTGCGAGTCAATAAACACCATCAAGTCTTGCACTTGGAGCTCTCGAGCGAGTTGGAGCCCTAAGAGAACATTTTTCATATTTGGTTTCGTTATTGGATATTTTGAACTCGAATCGTAGAGCTTATTTATGCACTTGCTTGTCTAGACCTTTCATGATAAGTTCAGCACTCCCTTTTTGATGTGGTGGAACCATCAATGAATAGGGTTTGTGCCAAGGGGATGTGCTCATCAACTTTGACCTTGGGTGAGGGAGTCAACTTTGATATAAAATTTGTCAATACTTGAGCCTTAATGGCAACCCCAGAAAATATCGGATGTCAAACTCACCTAGCTCTATCAACCACCTTAGGATTGCCCAAGACATCAAATCACGAAAGGATCTACCTAAATGGTTGGTTGGTGATCACTTGTATGGGATACATTTGGAAATATGGACAAAGCTTCCTTGTCACTAATACTAGTGTAAAAGTCCACCTCTCAATGGGGTCTATTGCTCCTCGACTTTGCTTAGTACATGTCTGACATAATAAATGGGTCTTTGGACTCCCGAATCATCCCACACTAATATTTAGCTAATAGCCTGCTTGGTGGTAGTGAAATAGAGGTTGAGTACTTTGCCCGGAACGAAGGAGAGCTATGGTAACTTGGCGAGGTGGTGCTTTAGCTTCTCAAATGTCTCTTGGCACTTCTCGATCCATAGGAAATCTTTTGGATGCAATGCCCGAAAGAATGGCAAGTACTTGTCGTCAAACTAGCATAGGAACCGGCTAAGCGCCACTATTCATCATGTTACTTATTGCACTTCCTTCACCAACCGAGATGGATGCATCTTCAATGTGGCATGGACCTTTTAG